GAGCAGAAGAAAGAGTAAGAGTAAACGTAAGAGTAAGAATAAGAGTAAGAGTAGGAGTAAGGGCAGGAGAGGAATAGGAGTAAGAGAAAGAGTAAGAGTAAGAGTAAGAGCAGAGGTGGGTGGGCTCGGGAGATTGACTCCGTTAATTCTTTTGTTTCGATTATCTATCTATATGAAGATATAGATATATAATAAGGTAATTAATAACTGAATGAACGATAAATAATATGGGCAAATTAACAAAATAACAAATTAATCGAATAAAACCGAAAAAAATGGGGTTTACAAGACACACTAAGAAAGAAGAAAATGGTATACCCGAGGCAAAAGAGGCGCGAGCGCGAGCAGGGCCCGGGCGGCCGCCTCACCTTGAAGCGATGCTGGCTCCTGCGGGCGTCGCCGAGGCTGTTCCCGGCCTGCAGGCTCTCGGTGTCAACGACAGGCCTTCGGGCGTCCTCTGCCAGCGTGGTCTGGAGGCTGCTGCTGCTGCTTCCTGCTGCCATTTCCCGCTGATGCACGCCGTTGCTCTGACTGTGGCCGCAGAGGAGACTCGTCCGCTTCTGCTGCCCCGCTCCGTCCGACCCATTGCTCCTGTCGGAGGCGTCGAGGGCGGACAGCTGGATGGCTGAGTCGGCGCTTTGGTGTTCGGCAGCCAAGCCGAGGTCCTGCCCTTTGCTCCGCCCGCGGGAGTCGGTCTGGCGCCCCTTGGTGCCTCGCCCGCCGTGCCTCGAGGCCCTGGCGGCGTGCGCCTTGCCGCCCTTCGACGCCGCCTCGCCTCCTTTGCCGGTCTTGGCCGCCGTCTTCTCGCCCGCCGACGCCCTGCCTGCCTTGGGCCCCCGGAAGGGCCGCGCGCTGGACGCCTTGTTGTTCTCGGCGTCGCGCGCCGCGGAGGAGGACGACGTCGACGAGGACGACGACGACGACGACATCTTCTTGGCTCTCTCGCCGACGACGCGGCCGTTCTTGACGGAGTTCCCCGACGCCCTCTTCGCCTTGGCCTCGAGGTCGTCGCGGCGGTCCGCCCTCGGCTCGCGCTTGGCCTCTGCCATGAGCGCGCTCGCGGATCTGGGGTGACCGTCGGCGCCCTCGGCTGGCCCGACTTTGTTCCTCGCCGAGGGGCCCCGGCCGGAGCTCCCTCGGCATCCGTTGGGCGTGATCTTGCGGCCTTTGCCCTGGTGGCTGGGCCTGCACGGGGGGCTGTGGGCGGACCCCGTCTCTGCAGGGGGCGCAGGCGGAGGAGGAGGGCTGTGTGTCTCTTCCGCGGCAGTCTGAGGGGGACTTCGGGCGGGGTTCGGCGCCGGAGGATGGACTCGGCCGTGGAGAGCGGCGGAAGGAGGAGGCTCCTGCGCGCAGGCATCACCCGACGGCGCGGGCGTGTCGGGGGACTGGGGCTCCTCCTGCAGAAGGACGTAGGTGATGGCGTCGGAGGCGGACGACGGCGGGGACGAGTAGTCGAAGCTGGCGAGGGCGGACTGGCGAGTGAGCGACACGGGCGAGTAGCGAGACGCCCGCGAGTTCAGAGTGAAACTGGACCTCCTGCTGGCGGGCTGCGAGTTGGCTCGGGCGGCCGGCGCGGCGCAGGGCGGAGACTCGCGGCCGTCGCTCGAGGACGGGGGCCTGGAGGGGGAGAGGGAGTGAGTGGCGGGGGGGGAGGGAGGGAGGGAGAGGGAGACGGTGAGAGATAAACAGAGAGACAGAGAGGTAGATAAGATAATAGATAGATAGGTAGATAGAGAGAGCGGTAGAAAGAGAGACAGGCAGAGAGACAGACAGAGAGACCGAGAGATATAAAGAAAGACACAGAGAGAGACAAAGAAATACACAGAGAGAGATAGAAAGAGAGACGATATACACCACACTATAAAATGATAATAATAATAATAATAATAAAATTAAAAAAATAAAACAAATTCTCAACCAGCGACGCCCCTATCCTCACCTCCTTCCCCGTGAGACCCTCTCCCCTTCCTCCCCTTCCTCTTCCTCTCCCTCCCTCTCCTCCCCCCCCTCTCGGAGCGCAGGTCGGGTCGGGGCGCGGGGCGACAGAGAGGCCGAGGAGACGCTGTGAGGACTCTGCGGTGTCGTCGGCCTCGATCCCCGACGGAGGGTGATGGAGTGGTGGCTGGTGGAGGAGGCGGGGCTTCCCGGGGGGCGTGTCGCCATGTCCTCGTCCATCTCCGATGTCTCCACGACGATGAACTGAAGGAGGAAGGCGGGGTTTTGGAGTGGGTGGGGTTTAGAGTGGGCGGGGATGGCGTGGGCGGGATTTGGAGTGGGTGGGGTTTAGAGTGGGCGGGGATGGCGTGGGCGGGATTTGGAGTGGGTGGGGTTTGGCGTGGGGGGGGGTTTGGAGTGGGCGGGGTTTAAGGTGGGTGTTGAGTAAAAATGATTCATGATTTATTATATGTTATCTACATATTTATCATCAGTGTTATAACTACTATTATTACTATCATTACTACCGTATTTTCATTATCATCACTGTTATCATTAATATTAT